TCACGTCGTCAAAGTAGACGTTTGAGTGGTCCACTGGGAACCAGTTATCGGGTCTAAAACTGGGCGCCCAGCCGTATTCCCGATGGGGGTTGGCGATCCAAGAAGCTTTCGGGTTTTCTTTCGCCCACTTCTTGTACCTTGCCTCGCCACCTTCGAACTCCACTTTCCTGCTTTCCCACTCGGAAACGGACATGTATCCGCGAATGCTTTCACCCCACATCTCGACCATCTTCGGTTCGAGTGGGTCATAGACGGATCGATCCGGAAAGATGAGCGGTCCAAATTCCATGTCACACGATATGCGCCACACCTGGTCACCATTGCGTATAAAAAGAAATGTGAGCTTGTCATCCATAGCCAAAGCTATATTGACTCGCAACTGACCAAGGTCCCCAAAACAGTCTCGCTCCTTTTCGTTGCGCCGCACACGCATCGCCAAGAGGCATCTAGGAAACGGCAACAGGCGGTCCCGATTTTCTGGGGTGGATATGTAGGCATCAAACGCTTCGATCTCTTCAAACGTCATGCCGCCTGTGCGGTAATCGGCCAGGCATTCCTCATCCATGTAGGCAAGCCGTTGAAAAACCCTCAGCTTCTCTGTTGCTGCAGCAGGAGCGCCAGGGCAACACTGCACCGCTTCCTCCGCAATGCCTGCATAGAGCGAAACCGCGAAGATCCGTTGATCAATGTCTTCGACGCTTTCCTGCATCACTCCCAAAAGCGCAATCATCGGCATCGATGGTGCTTTCATCCAGGTCGCGAGGTTTTGATTGGCCTCCTTGATTGCTTCAAACATTGCCGGCAGTTGCTCGGTCTTGGCGCGAACCAGATCACGGCCGTAGGCCTTCACATCATGGGTCTCAGAAAGAACCATGAGTGAGTTGCTGTTGTCAGCGGTAGCGTCCCTGCTGGCCTCCGCGGGCGACATGCCCAATCGCATGGTGAGTTCCTTGACCTCATTGAGCAGCCTCAAAGATTCATCCTGAGATTCTGCAATTTTTTTGCGAATGACGGCATCTGCGTCAGGTTCATGCCGCAGTTGGGTCCAGAAGTCCTTCAGATGGACTCGTAAGAACGTATGGCCACGGTCGGAGTGCGGTGACTGAAGCTCAACGTAGTTACTGCCTACCTTCATGGCACAACCAAGCCACGGAGTGCGTTCTTCGGCAAGTTCGGCGCGACGCGATGCACTCAGCCTGGCCTCTTTTTTTTCATTGACTTTGAAGACCGGCGTATACCAGTACCACTGTCCCAATACAGGACCTTCAGGTGGCGATTCAATGCGTCTGAACGCTTCATCGTGGCCGGGAAACTGGATCATGGCGCTCATGATTTATTTCTCTATTTTCGGCAATGGCGCGGATGGTACCGTCTTGGACGGTTTTCCGCAGTTGTCCACACAGGCCCAGTGTTGCGCGCCGGCAAGTTTGTAGGAACGCAGCATGCTGCGAGGCTGGTGTTTACCGCATTTGATGCAACTGAGGGTCAGGCTGGCACCTGGTCCATAAATGCTGCCAGAAGCCTTGGATTTAAAGCGCAACCCATCGGGCTGTAGCTTGTCGGTGACTTCAACAGTTTTCATATTGATCGAGCCGCGTTGAGTTTTTGTGAGTGACATGGATTGGCAAGGAGTAGCACGCCATCTCGCCCATAGATTGGTCGTTTTTCCGTTGAAATCCGATCAGAGGACGCCTCACTGGGCTCACGCAACACTTCGCTGGCGGAATCAACCAGAAACAAAGCCTTCACTTTATTTACCCCCCGCAGTACGAAGAAGTCCTGACTCCAATTTCGACACCAATTGTTGTTGAATCAGATTTACACCAACCGCTTCAACCGAGTCACCCCATAGCCCGATCTTGACGAGCTGCTGAAGATATCCGCTTACTTGGTCAGAAACATCCAACTTCAATCGACGATCTTGTGGAATTGGTTCCCGGGCAGATTCTTCTTGGGTAATGAATATCTCGAACGCAGCGGAAACAGGCGCTGATTTGTCTTCAAATGCGCGCACTAAATAATGCCTATCCCCCTCGATGAGTTCATCTGCCCACTGACTGGTAAGACCTTTTTCAAGAAGGAGCCGTTTCACTTCGGCAGCGAAGAGTTCATAGACCGCAAATATCGGATCAGCAGCTGGTCCCTTTTCGACAGGAGATGCTGTTGATTGCTCGGTTGAAACATCTCGAGTGTTTGGTTTGGAATTTTTTTTCACACTTAGTACCTCGGCCCTTTAATAGATCCTCTAACCTGCTGAAAGGTAATTCAGTTCAAATGGTTGCAGACTCACTGCGAAGAAGTCCCGTTTCAGCCCCATCAACAAATTTCTGGGCGAGCGTCAGATCGAATTCATCATCAGCATTCCGGAGCTTGCTCTCAGCATCAATCCAGAACGGTTCTCCCATTGAAGCCCGCCCGATCTTCTGAATCTGCGCTTCAATAGTTTCAGGACCGAGGCCGCCGGCATAACCGCACATCGGCCTGCTAATCGAATCTGGCAGAGAAGATTCGAAGCAAAGCGGCGTGGGCCAGGAGGTGGGGCCAATACCCCTACCGCCCGACGCATCGAAAAGCACAGCATGGTTGTCAAAACCAGCCAGCTCCTTCCAGAGGTTCTCATTCGCCTGGTTGTGCTGGGTGATGATGGTCTGGCCGGGCCGGTTCCTGAGCAGCATTCGCACTTCCGCCACGGGGAACCGTGACGAAATGAAATTGACCTGAATACGAGCGAAAGAATCTGCCAGAACCGACACATGGCCGTCCCCCGCCAAAAGATCGCCGACGGCACTGCCGCAGACATGAAGTGCCAGGTTGAGCCCCGGCCGGGCATTGGAAACGGCGGCAAGACCGTCCAGCCATCTGAGTTTTGGGTAGCGTCCCTGGCCATTGAGCTTGGTGCTGTAGAGAACACCGAATTCAACGTAAGGCGCGCGCCGTGTGATTTCATAAAGCGCCTCAACAGGCGTTTTTTCGTCAATGCCGGTCAGGGTAACGCGCTTGAGTCGTTGCTTGAGCGACGGAGATTGGATTTGATCTTGGGTGTACATCTTTGAACCTTGGCTTGTAATGAGGATGAGGTGAACTTCAGTCTAAAAAAAGTCGCTGAACATTCAAGTGACAAGAACTGTCGTCATAGCAACTCCTGCTGAGCGCTTCCGGCACCGTCATACCGTGCGCGGACTTGTCCCTCCTTCAGCCTCAATCGATTTAGCTTGTCCCCCTCGCATAGACAGTTCTGAAAATCCATGGCCTGAAGTTTTCGGTCCTCGCATATCTCTTTCGTACGTGGCTGGAGTACCGCAATCAGCTCCGGAAGGTAGTTATCGAATTCGCTTTGTGAGAGTGGGCTTTCCTTTGGCTTTCCCATAAGCCGATTCAGGCCTCGCGCGCTGCCCGGTCCCAATGGCGCCCATGTGTCGGCATCAGTCCAATCCCGCCCTGGGGAGAGATGCGCCAGGTCAGCCACTACCTGCCCCGCGAGAAAGCGTCCCATCCCCGCGAACTGCAGCAAGTTGGTCCATGTCTCTCGCATGCTGCTGGCCAGCACTGGAGAGGGGTGAGCAATGATTTTCTCGACAAGCAGGCAAACGGAGTCAACTTTCTTGAAGCCGGGGACCCCCGGGACGATGTAGGCTCCCGTGAAGACCTTGTCGCCACGATCAGCCCGTTCGTTCAAATTGCTGCAGACCAGAGGAAGGTCGGAGATTTGAAACGGTTGCCCCCTGGTGCTTTCCACCAATGCCTGGGGCCAGTTGATAAGTCGGCCCAGCAGGACGGCTGCAAATAATGTTCTGTCGTCGGCCTCCGGCCGGTACCAGACTTCGAACAGTTCCTGGCTCACCCGATCATCAAGACGCCGGACATTGCACCATCGGAAATCACGTAACAACGGGTCGCTGGTCCAGGGCCACGGCAGACCCTGCAGCTTGCGTTTACGAATGGCTTCGCGCTCAAACATCCACCCGATGAGAATGTCAAGTTGGCTCACCAGAAACCTTGAACTCATACGCGGCTTTCATGATGCTCGGGGAGAGGCGAATGTTTTGGTTTTGCGGCCTGTTTAGCTCGAATGGCTGGCATCTTGGTCCAGATCCTTTCCAGCTCTGCCTCCGCAGCAGCGTCGAGGTCAACCTCACTTGCATCGCAGAGTGCGGCCAAGGTGACTGCAGCTCCACCCGCTTCCTGTCTGATTTCGCCGACAGGACGGTCAAAGGTGTAATCCACCAGCTGGTGTGCCTCGCTACGGGTCATTCCGTTGGCCTGTACCAGTTCAGTCGACTCCTCGAAGTAGCGATGATTTCGCTCCATCTTGTCGTTGGAGATTTCCCGGCCGAAGCAGGCGAGCATCCAACCGGCGACTCGCTCTTGGAATGTCCTCGCTGGCACAGCGGCTTCAATGTGTGGTGAAACGGACATGATTACCCATCCATCTTCCAGCCCCCACACCGGGCCGCGCAAAATCCCGATCACCCGTCGTTTTGCGGTCCTGCCAGTGAACGCCAATGGCGCTCCAGCCGCCATCTCCAGCATGCTGAATTTGGTTTCCTGTAAAACGAGGATATCGCCACACTGGAACCCGCGGTCATCCTTGCGGACTTCAAAGGTCTTTCGCCCGACGTCGATCTCATGAAACGTCAGCGGGTCAACCTTGAGCTGCAGTTCCCGACCCATTAGCGGTGCCCAATGTGCCTGATCAACGTGGACAGGTTGAGCGCTGGAGACCATGCCGCCGGCCATGCCCCGAAGCAAAGCTGCAACCGTATTGCAGGCCTGTTCATGATCGGTCAGGAGCTCGACGCGCGCGATTGAATAATGAGCCGCCTGCTCTGGATGCTTCGCCACCTGGTCTGCATAGTATTCACGGGCACTTTTCTCGGGATTGAGGTATTCACTGGACCGCCACTCCATGCAGAAAGCCCCCTCGGGGGTTTGCATTCGCCAGACGATCTCTGGAATGACTTCGATGTCGCGCGCCAGCGCCTTCAATTGTGTTGACTTCGTCATGCTGCTACCTCTTCTGCTTTCATCTCATTTTTTGGCCTGCTGATCAGCGGGAATTCGTCATATGTCATGCCATCGAGCTGGCGGCCTGCTTTTTCCTTGCCGATGCGGTAGGGACGGCCTATCGCCCTCTCATATGCTCTGCCGAGCTTCTTTTGCAGTTCATCCCGGACAGAAACGGGCATCTGTTCAGGAAAACAGTATTGGCCCCACTGTTTGAATAAAAACGGGACGCCGGCAGCGGCGCACTGATCTTTAAGACTCCGCACCCATTCCGGATTGACCGCTCGGATGTTGAGCCCCCTTCCACTTTCACCGCCCACAATGACCCAGTCGAGTTGCCTCAGGATGTGAACCGGAATAACAATCGGCCCCAACATGGGCTCGACGCTCAAAAACCTGACGCGTGCGGGAATCTTTAGCAGTTTGGGGATATCGCGCGTAGCTTCTGCCTGGTCAACGACAGTGATGCCGAGCCACACGTTGGACCGTGTGTCGGTTCGGGGTGTACCGTGCAGCATCAAATCCAGCTTGCGATAGGCCTCCTGCACGTTACCGATACGTTTGGTCAGTACCAACCAGTCCAGGTTCGGGGTTAGCTCAATGGTCCTGAACAAATCCGCGAACCATTCGAACGGCACCTGGTTATCAAAGACGTCTGACAAGCTACTCGCGAAGATTCTTTGCCGGCGGCCGTGTTCCGCAAAAAACTGCTGGTGAAGTCTGTTCCACCGAAAAGGCCTTTTCCTGTTCCCCAGGGCGGTGCGTTTGCGCGGAGCACCAGGCCCCCAGTTGGGCGCCACACCCCCGCCAAAGCGCTTGTTGAATGCCTCGGCAAAGCAGTTGTCGCAGCCAGGCCCGGCATGTTGACAGCCGACCCAATCATTTTGCGTACGGTCCGCCCATTCGATTTCTGTCAATTCAGCCATTTCAGATACCCAAGGTTATTTCCGGAAACACAGTCATAGCGATCAAAAAAACCGCGTTCCGGTGCGCTCGTCCATGGGATCGTCAAAGCACTCGGATGCGAGTCTTTTTCTTTCCAGAGCTCTCTGTATCTGTATGACTCGCGCGAGATGCCTCGCGAACACAGCAACACCCTTCCAGTAGGCTGCAAGAGGTGGTTTGCACTTTTTCCAGCAGTTTTCTGCACGCTTTTTCGCGTCGATGTGAAGGTCGACAAGTACCAGGGACAGCGCCTCTTGTGCGTCGCGAGAAATCTCAAATATCTCCTTGACAGCACCCAGCCTCAAACATGGATTTGCGGAAACACGACGCTGCCGCACTTGACCCTGGTGAGTCGACCTTCGCTCGCCAATGCGACGCAGTTTCTTGGGTGCTGGCTGGTCAGTGCGTATAACTCGCGAAATGTGTCCTGAATACACAGCCAAAGCTTTCCAGTAGACGGCGCGTTGTGCATCCTGGGTGGCCCAGCATTCCTGCGCTCTTTCCAGCGCATCAGCCCGCAAGGCCTTTAAGGCAGAGCCAAGCTCATGTTTTGCGGAGTTAGACAGCTGCTCAAGAGCATCAACGGCGCTCAGCGCATACACGGGATTGCGGACCTCGCGCCGGACCGAGCGGTCAATACGAACGGCGTTCAGGTGGTGGATGGTTGCGCTCACTGTTTTTCCTCCAAGATGATTCCAGTGCGGGAGTCCAGAATGCCTGTGGCACAGAGCCGCCACAAAAGTGTGTCCACGGTTCCCACACGCCAGCCGGTAGCTTTGGCCAGTGACTCACACAGCGCCTGCGGCGTCACGCCAGCCCGGTCAGCGAGGCGCTGCAGGTGGACATCGGGCTTGGCAACTTCTGCCGCGTAGTTCTTTGCAAGGTGAAACTTCGTAATCGCGCCTATCCACGGGAGAGACTGGCAAAAGGCCAACTTGTCTGTTGCAGCGTTGTATGCGGCGAGAAGCGCGACACGGTCTCGCCAGAGTGTTTCTATTGCCTGGGCCTTGCCAGGGTGTTTGAATACACCAATGACAGGTCGCCCTTCCAGCAGCGCGGGAACGCACTTGTCAAAGATCTTTTGGGCAATGCGGTGGTGCATCCCACTGTTGCAGACGACAAAAATTGCATCAAAAGCAAACTGGTCGGGATCAACAGGTGGACGAAGTGATTCGGCCCACGCGATATCGTCGATACCCTGTTGGCCAAGGCGCTGCACCAGTTCAAGAAACAATTCTTTTGAAATTGATGATGCAGTCGTGGGTGTTTTTTGCGTGTCCATCAGTGTCATGGTGTTATCGCCTTCTTCTGGCATTCAATCGCGCCGCTACCCACTCTTCCTTCAAGCGCGGTGATTGCCTGTGCGAGATCTGCTGCAATTTCTTGCGCAACTGACTTGACCCTGAATTCAGCCAGTGCAGGCTGTCGGATCCAGGCAATACGGCGACGGAGTACTGCCACCAAGTCTGCCGATGCCATTCCGCATTCAGGAGACCTCGTGCGTGCTTCTCGAACTGCTTCATTGACGATTGCAGCCAGCTCATTTGCCGTGAGTTGTGGCAAAAGCTTCCCCCCCGCCTGCCCGCTCCAAGCTTGTGCAGCCGCTTCGGCACTTTCGTTTGTCATTGGCAGGCTCATTGCCGGGTACCCGTGACATGCGCTACGGGAGTGGGTTGGTCCCCCGCGTTCATCAGTACCAAAACCGTTGCCACACTTTTATCGTGTGCGTCACCCGCTTCTTCAAACGAGAGGGAGTCATCGTCTCGACTCACCACAAGCATCGTGATTTCACCGTTGGAGACGGCGTTGAAGCAGGTGTTGTCGTTGGATTCGTGAGAGGCCGACCATCCCTCGGTACCGGTTATTCGCCAGGCCGGCGAAGCACCCTGCTGCAGGGCGATCCGAGAGCCGGCAGCAGCGCCTTGAGGTTCGGGATTTCTGACATGCCCAGCTTGGATCTCGTACGCATTCACAGCACCATTGAGCGTTTCGCACATCCATTCAAGCAGCTGGTCTCGAAATTCCACAGGCGGGTTGGTATCGCAGTCCCAGCGAGAAATTCGAATCGAACCGGAGACCAGGTAACCCTGGCCGTGATGCCATCTGCCGACCAACGGTGGTTCAGGAAATGCTTGACCCTTACCACCAGGCCGGGAGGCTGCAAGCAAGGCACTGCCAATCCTTCCCCCGCCTTGAATATCCTCCTGAGCCTCTTCACGGAAATCACCTATGCCCTCGCCCATCAGCTGCAGCGCGTCCTCGGCAATCATCTCCAGCGAGTTGTAAACGTGCGCACGGTTCTCAACGTTGGCCATCGCGCCTTCCGCGTTCACGCGGATTTTGTTAGCCAGCATGTGAACCGCGTCTATCCGGCATGCGTACCAAGAGGTCGGTTTTGGATCACCGGGCTCTGCCTGGAGTGCGGCGTCACCGGCATCCTCGTTTTTCTTGTTCTGGAGTTCAGAATCGATGCGGTTCAGAAGGTCATTCGGAAGGCCGTCATCCCGCGTGAAACAGCCGCCTACCTCCTGCAGCAGCGCCTCCAGGCGCGAGATCTTGTCGTAGGAACTTTGTCCTGCGGTGCCGTCCGGGGCAATCACGGCGTTGGCGACATCTGTCATGGCTGGATGTCCTTAACAAGTTCGTAGCCACCACGCTTGCCATTAAAACGGGCATCCATGGCCACCGTTTGCCTGCCAGACTCCAGGTTTCTGATGGTGACGTCGCGGATCGTCACGTGTTTCGGCGAAAGCGAGTTGCTGCGCACTTGTTTCTGAAACGGTTCACTGATCGCGACAACCTCGACCACGGGTTGCGCATAACGGGGATCCACGGACCTCCAGTGCTGACTGACTTTTATTTGCATCTCATAACTCCTTGCTAGCAAGATAAGGTTTGGCGACTGCTCTTTTGCTGCCTCGCGTTCAGTGTTTCTTCATCTCACTCAAGTCAAGTGGGTCTTTCATCATGTTGAGGACATTTGCAGCAAGGTAGAGCGCGGTAGCCTGTCCAAACTCCGCGAACATTGATGCCACTAGCGCTGTGAAGAACCCGATATAGACCTTGGCCATTTCCGGTAGCGTGCTTCCTGCCCGGGCTGCAGCTTCGCGCAGCGGATGATTGCAGTTCTCATTGAACAGTCTTCCGCCCAGCCTGGTCGGAGATCCTTCAAAGTCCAGCAGAGGATTGAACAGAAATTCCGCTTGAGATTGGCCTGTATTGACGGCCTCATCGACCTTGACTGGCGTGCCCGGCAGGTCCGTGCTAGCGGCTTGATCGGCTTCGCCGCGATAGCCCATCTGCTCAAGTGCATCGTCTCTGATGAAGCCCAGCAATTTGCAGACGATGTCGCGGTTATCCAGGTTGGCCAGAGTCTCTTTTGCGTTCGTGTAAATTCTGTAGGCCAATATGTGAAACACCTTATCCCTGCAAACAGGACATTCAGGTGGGCTTTCTTCCTCATTTGGTTTGGCATTCAAGGGAGAAAACACCAACATGTGGATTGCAAATCGCATCATGTCGTCATGGCTCATCAGCATGGCTTTCTCAGGCGAATAGTCTGGAAAATCCTCGACCACTTCCTGAATCTGCGCCAGCGATACGCCGAACTCACTCAGCGCCATCTCCTCGGCTTCCTGCCACTGCATAAAACACCGATTACTGAGATCGCTTGCCCTTTCGGCAATTTTTGACAGCCTGTCATTTGCAGGCTCCTCAACCTCAGGTGCTGGCTGGGTGGCATTCAACGAAATGGCCGGCGGTAGTTCCACTCGGGCGTGCAAGGGGTTATCAACCAGGTGCTTGCGCAGGCGTTCGATGGCCATCAGCGCGTCGCAGTCGTCGCGCCTGTTGATGGAATCCGCAATGGAATTCAAAGTAGCCTCTTCATATGTGAAGAGTCTTTTGGCCGTGGTATCGGGTGCGGATGTCATGGAGGTTTGATTCATTTGGTCTGACCCGGGATGGAGTCCTGGTGGAAGTAAGCGGTGGATCCTGTCCACAGCCAGCAAGTGGCCATGGCGAAGCGGTGCACACGCCTGCGCGCTGCGCGATAGGCGCCACGCACACGCGATGTGCAGCTGGGCCGGTCAGTCAAGGCCGAGCCGAGCGCCCGGATGTGTTGAGGGTTCTGGTAAATCAGTGGCATGGTCGTTTCCACTCAATCCGGGGTTTCGCCGGAGGCCTTTTTGGCGGGTTTTGCAGGCTTCTTCAGAACCTTGCCGTCCCTGACCTGCACGACAGAAGAACCTTCCGGTTGCTGCACATCGCTCTTCTGACCTACCAGAGCGGTTTTCCCGGCCTTTTTCTGGGCCTTTTCAGCCTTCGCAGCCTTTTTCAGGTTGGCATCAATCACCTTCTGAGCGTCACCAAGCAGGCGCTGCTGCTGTGCTTCGATGCGTTTCTGGCGGCGCTCGACTGCCGTCTGGTTGGCCTGCTTGACGTCGGTTGCCTGAAGCGCCTGGCGTCCGGCTTCCGTGATCACGATGGGCTTGCCGCGGCCGCCCGATGTGACCGTCTTGCGGGCTTCCTCGCGCTTGACCAGCGCTGAGAGGCGGCGCGTGTCGCGCGGGCTGGCAGATGGGCCGAGAAGCTGGAAGGCCACAGCCACCATGGTCAGCCCCTCCGCATGTTCGGCCAGGCAGTTGAGCACCGTAGCGCGGTCCAGCACCACCCACTGGTCACTCGACTGGCGGCGCGTCTGCTCAAGAAGACGCCGGCGCTCCCTGTCAAGACCACCGGTGACCTCTTCATCCAGGCTGTAAAGGCTCGCTGGGCGAAATCGCACGCGGTCGGCAGGCACCTCGGTGAGGTTCTCATCCACGATGTCCTGCGACTGATCGCCGGCACCAGCGCCTTGCGTTGCAGTTGTGGATCCTGCTGAGCCGGTCACCTTCGGAACCTGCAGCTTGCCCATGGCGTCGTTGTAACGCTGGGCATGGGGCACGAACGGTTTTTCGGGACGCGGCTGCAGCACGATGTG